AATACTAACATACAATTTGAAATTTATGTCAGATAAAATAATTTATGAATAGATTGTGACCGAAATCGAGACCAAAACAAGTAAAAAGAAAATGACAAAGTTCGAGAGTGAAAGTGATAGCATAAGTAAAGCACTTTAGCGAGACATCAGGAGAGTGCATCTTACTTATTTTATATACGATATAAGGACGGCTTATAATGAGCCAACCTCAAATATTTTCAAATGAAAACGATATTAATTATTTTATGATTTATTTTTATACTATTTTACAAAATAGTTTTTAAATGATTTTTGGTATAATTTACCCTATACATTTTTATATAATATTTTATTTCATAATTTGTATGATTTTAATCATGAACAGTCCAATGCACATTTTATGAGACTTTTATTATATTTGTATATGAATAATTTTTTAACAGATGCGAAATAAAATATAACTTTAATAAAAGCCTAATGTATGTGAGTTAGTGCTAAAATTGACATGTCATGAGGTAAAGCGTTATCGATCGATTATACAGAAGTACATTCTTATACAACATAATTATCGGATATATTTATGTATTCAGAATTCATTGGTACAATGTTGTTGTGTTCTATAGTACATGTACATCAACAGGGCACTAAATATGGCATACAATTACAGGACACTAAATGTGCTATATAATTACATGCAATTATATTGCATATAGTATAGAACACTCATTTTTTTTTTACTCTTGTATCACGTATTCTCATGATTATATATTGAACTATAAAATAAACTAAAAGGTATATTTCAGAAAAAGAAGTAGTATAGAAAAAGGGATAGTACATGACAAAAATAGTATATGAAAAAAGGAATATTACATGTTTAACTATTATGTTTTACATTAAAGTTTTATATGCAAAGCTTGATTTAATATTGAATAATTTATAAACGAAAAGTTAAAATTACAAGTTACTAGTGTATGAAAATAATTTGAATAAATTTTATTTATTTTATACTATATTTCTATACGATGTTTTTGTACTAAGATATATGTTTTATATATTATTATAGAAATATTTTATTAATTATTCAGTGAAAACTTAGCGTGTGATTATTTCAAAAGTAGGTACGAGCAAGTGAGCAGAGTAGAGATCATGTCAACATCATTTTTTAGGAATCGAATCTGCCTTTAGAATCAGTAAGGACATCAGGCATCATACGATATTACTTTTAATTATATAGTGACATGTATATTATAGAATTTTTAATTGCTCTGATATGAAATTTATTTAGGTTGCAAATATTTTAAATATATAAATTTTAAGTATAATTAGTATAGATAATGAATAATATTTTAACAAATCATATTTTAAAAATCAATTAGTGGATATTTTAATTAGCCAGTTTTTAATCAGTTTTATTTTTAGTATGAAATAATGTTGAACTGTCTGATTACTGCTTAAATTTATATTCGATTTTGATATTAAAATATTAAATTATGATTTTACACAATTAATAGATTTAAAATAAAGAAATGTGATTTAAAATTTTTAAAGAAACAAAATTTTATCGGTTTTTGAACGTCAAGTGTTTTATACGACTCTTTGACTTGTATACAAGTACATATATGGATTAAGGGTATTACATATATATTCGGATCGAATGTTCGTATATATGATTTTTTTTCGATTGAATTTGGATCGTTATTTTAGCTATACGAAATTTCAGATATCCAAATTTTCGAATCAGATCGGATCCAATATATGATTTTGCACACTCCTAATAAGCTATGATTATATTATATCGTATCTCAAACATAACTTGAAAAAAAGGGTAAAGCACACAAATGGTCCCCGACTATAAGGTATTGCTTCGACTATTAAAAGATACAAAACAATCCTCCAATTATAGAATGTTGTTCTATTAAGTCCCTCAACTATTAAAAGTTACAAAATTGTCACCCGACTATTCATTATGTTCCAAATTCATTCTTTTTCGTTAAAAATTTGGCGGTTGTCTAATCTAGACATTAACATGATGATCGAGATATGGTAATCGTTTGAGACTCTGGGATCAGATTTTATCATATCATGGTCAGTAAGTTAACGTTTAATTGAAAATATAGTCATTTTCTTAATATAAAAACAAGCTTTGAATATAATGAATAGTTCAGTGACCATTTTGTAATTTTTAATAGTCGAAAGACTCAATAAAATAACCCTCTATAGTCAAAAGACTATTTTATAATTTTTATTAATTGATGGACTTAATAAAATAATATACTATAGGAGATTATTTGTGTACTTAAAAAAAAAGGGTTAGAAGGTGTGGGGCTCTTGATTTTGTTCAGACATTACTTTCCCCGGCCGCTGTCGGTTTGGTGTTATTTCTGTTGGCGGTGGTGGGGACTCTGTGGTTTGGGTTGGTGAGCCAAATGTGGACCATCCACTGAGTTAAAAGCGTCGGACCACTAATCAGATACGCAGACAATGCGATTCCACGTGGATAAACATTAGACGCAGCCGCTTAATAATTTATAAGTTTAGTATAATTAAAACAAGAATGAGAATAAAATCAAATAATAAAAATTATTATTTATTATTTTATATCCAATTTTGATTTTAGTATAGAAACCATTACCGTGTACCATTTTTGGATTGAGAAAATAACCTCAGTGACCAAAAATACCTTATAATATGATTTTAACCAACTTTTTTTGGATTTACCAAAATAACCAACTAAATCGCAATGCGATCGATAATTCGCAACGCGATCTCCGGTATCGCAAATCAGTTTCCAGATTCGCAACGCGATTCTGACTATCGCATTGCGATTTTCCAAATTCGCGTTGTGATTTTCCTAAATCGCAATGCGAATACGTAAATCGCAATGCGAATACGTAAATCGCAACGCGAATCTGACTATCGCAATGCGATTTACATAGTGCCATTCGTATCCAACGCGCATTTTTTTTCAAATTCCAAACACGAATATATTAATATATCGGAGCACTGAACCGTCCACAGTATATCCCGTAATCGCAACTCATAACCTAAAACCCTAAATCACAACTCAGTCTCATCTCCATCTCTCACTCTCTAAGGCGACATCCGTCCCCATCTTTGACGAAATCAGTCCCCATCTCCGACGATATCAGTCTTCATCTCCGGCGAAATCATTCACGGTCAGAAATGGAAAATCAACCAAATCAACCACCGAGGGTTAGTTTTTTTAATTATTTTTATTTTGAAATTTTTGTATTATTATTAGGTTTTTCATATTGAAATTGATGATAAGTTTACTGGTGTTTTCAATAATAGATTAACCATTTCACTTAGATTGCTTATTATATTCATTCGATTGCTGCCAATACTGCTAAACTGTTTAGTCTTTAACCCTGTGAAGTTAGTATTTATCTTTGTTTTGTCTTTTGGTTGAAGTAATGCAATCCATTCAAGTTTCTTTCAATTTTAGTATTTGAAACCGAGAATGACTATCGCAATGCGATTATGTCGTTGCGATTTTCATTTCGCGTTGCGATTCTTGCGTTGCGATAGTCAAATTCGCGTTGCGATAGTCATTTCGTGTTTCGATTTTCATTTTCGTGTTGCGATTTTAAGTTTCAGAAACTATTCTTCTTCTGCAATTTGAAACTTGAATGAATTGCATTACTTTAACCAAAAAACAAAGACAAATACTAAATTCACAGTGTTGCAAATTTAAGTTTGAAGAATAAACTACTACTCTTTATGTTTATTGTTCTTGTTATATCTTCACAGTGTAGTTTTTGGTATATCTAAATTGGTATGTTTATTGTTTTTGCAGAACTTTTATTCGGCTCAATTGACCTTAAGAAATTAAGTAAGCCTGGCCAAAACAATTGCGTCGAAGCTTTCACCTGCACAAAGAAAAATATTTGAGGATACTTGCTTCGGGCCATGGCTGAAAGTACAACATCCGGGTGGAGATGCTATGTTGACCCATCTGTTTCTTCAAACCATGACTAGCGATCTACCAGAGACTATACAACGTCATGATGAAGAGATATGGTTTGATTTTCTACCGGCGTATACGTGTTTTGGGCGGGAGGAGTTTTGCTTAATCGGATGGATGACGTCGATGTTGTCCGAGTATGCCTTCTAATACTTTTGCAAGCCGGCTTTTTAGGCAGAGAGGCCCGACAACCTATTCCTAATGATCTAATTAAATTGGCAGAGGACCTAAATGCATGAAACCTGTTTCCGTGGGGTTCGTATCTATGGAAAGCTACATGGAATAAGTTGTCGTATGCCTTTGATGATCAAAAAAGTTTGCGTGGCGATGGTTCCAAATACACTTTGTCAGGCTTTATTTGGGCCTTTAAGGTAATTATTTTTATATAATGTTTCCAAAATTATAATTAATTCTTTAACAATTACTAATGTTTGTTATTATATTGTTTGTAGATTTGGATATTTGAGGCCTTTCCCGCCATGCAGACATATGCATTAAAAACTTCTAATGATATTCCTAGGGCTATTTCCTGGAAGAGGAAATGGTCCTTGCAGCAATGAGAAGATTTACTACCGTATACTAGAATAAATAATGTAAGTTAACACAAATACTACCATATGTTTATAAACAAGTTATTACTAGTACACGTTTAACTTTGTTTGAGCTTTTATTTTGTTAGGAGGCCAACACTCCATTACAGAGGCTGACACCCACGGAAGCTGAGCTTGCCACTGATTGATGGCAAGCTAGTAAGCATTTTTTTGATGGCACAGATGATGAGCAGCCACCACTTCGAGAGCCATCACCTCACCCAGAGCCATCACCTGATCGACCCGAATATACAACTCCACAACGAGAGTCATCACCTATTCTGTCACATCATCGAGCCTCTTCTCCACCATCACCTCATGATAGGCGACCGACAAAGATGCCACGACGTTTATCTCCCTGTTCTCCACCTCCACGGGATGAGTTAGGGGAGTTACGTAATGAGGTCAATGCCTTACGTGAGGAGGTCGGTACTTTACACGATGACAATGGTGCATGGCGTGTTGAGGTGTCTACTTTACGTGGTGAGGTAGCAGCTCTACGTGAGATTGTAGCATCGTTGCAGAACGAGGTTCATACTCTACGCAACGAGGTAAGTTTAATATTTTTCATATTTAACTTGATGATAAATTTACTCGTAATTTCACTTAGATTGCTTAGTAAATTCATTCGGTTGCTGCCAATACTGTTTAACTGTTTATTCATTAACCCTGAAAGTTAGTATTTGTTTTTTGTTGAAGTAATGCAATCCATTCAAGTTTCAATTTGCAGAAGAAGAATAGTTTACTATCGTAATGCGAAAATGACTATCGCAACACGAAAATGACTATCGCAACGAGAGAATCGCAATGCGAAATGAAAATCACAACAACAAAATCGCAATGCGAAAATGACTATCGCAATGCAAAAATGACTATCGCAATGCGAGAATGACTATCGCAATGCGAAAATGACTATCGCAATGCGAATTTGACTATCGCAACGAAAGAATCGCAATGCGAAATGAAAATCGCATTGCGATTCTCTCGTTGCGATAGTCAAATTCGCATTGCGATAGTCAAATTCGCGTTGCGATAGTCATTTTCGCGTTGCGATAGTCATTTTCGCGTTGCGATTTTAAGTTTCAGATTCTATTCTTCTTCTGCAAATTGAAACTTGAATGAATTGCATTACTTCAACAAAAAGACAAATACTAACTTCACAGTGTTGAAAATTTAAGTTTCAAGAATAAACTAATACTCTTTATGTTGTCATTGAACCTGCACTAAACCTATATGTTGTCCTTTTAAATGTTTATATAAGTGCTTACTTCTGGAATGTTATCTGATGCATTTTGTGAACAATGATATAATAATGACTTGGGTGAATACCGTGCAAGTTTGAAATATATTTGTCTTTGTTTTCACTGTTTAATATCATATCTGTTTATTTACTGATTTATGTATTAATTTATTTTTAGCGGCCCGATAAGGTGGATGGTCCACGTATGTGTCATTACGTCTCTGTTCACCCCAATAGTGCGAAGAATCCATAAGAAAAAGCCCGACTCACCTGTCATCGTTCAAGAGGCCTCCCCTATCGTTCAAGAGGCTCCTATCATCCCTCAAGAGTCCCCTCCCACCGTTCAAGAGGCCACTGTCATCGTTGAAGAGGTCCCTCCCAACATTCTAGAGCCCGATTCACACGGCGTAATATATCGAATTATTGAGAAGCCCCCTCACGTGCCGGACATGATGGATGACTGTTGGCTTTCGTATAAGTTACCGGCCAGTACCATTCCGGCAGATGAAGTGGAGAGGAAACAACTACCGAAAACAATTCTGGATAATACCCTTTGGGCTAAGACCGCAGTTGATTTTTATCTACATGAGCGGAGCCAAGGGTGTTACACTGATATATACAAACTCAACGATGATATGCATTTGTTGATTGAACGGTCTTGGTGGGGTGTATTATTAGGGGTTGAAGACAACGGCTATTTCGATGGGGGGTAAGTCTTATATTTCTTCTTATATTTCAGTTTGATTAATTTTTTTTAAAATTTATGTAATTCACTAATATATGTCTTTGTTTGTAAAACAACATATTGATGCATGGGTGACACGTCTTCTAATTGTAAGGAAATTGAAGAAAAATATAAAAAATGCGATATACAATTATGCCGACGTCTTTTCACGTAGTTCACTTGAAGAATCAACGACAGGAATCATATGTGTTGGCTAATGGACAAGCTAAACTTTATCCTGCATGGTGGGAGGTCGATAAGGTTAGTATTTATTTGTTTAAATATTTTAAAGGTGTTCATAAATAAGTGCGCAATTTGAATTATTACATTTCGATGCAGGTGTTTATCCTTGTTTTGGAACGTACTCATTGGCTTCTCGTCGAGCTTCAGCTCCCATCCCTAAAGATAATAGTATATGACAGCATGATAAATTACATATCATTGTCTGATTTGAGAGATATTATTAAGGGATGGAGCTCTCATTTGGCTAAATTCTTGGATGTAATTAATTATTGGACTAATTCTGGAAACAAGAAGCCAAAGAAGTTCAATGTTACAGTTATCAGAGACGAGACCGCGCCACAACAAACGAAGGCCAGAGGGGATTGTGGTCCTCTCGTATGCATGTGCTTGGAGCGTTTGACGACAGGAAGTACATAGTTTCTAACTCCCACCGATAGAGATAGAGGTGTAGTAGGCTTGTGGTTTCGGCATTTTATGGCTAGAACGATATATGCGAGACGCTTTCTACCTGCATCCGCGTTATGAAAGTGTCCATAAACAATTTGTAAGTCAAATGCAAGTGTTGTTAAACATATATACTCTTTTTGGTTTGAAAATGTTTGGTTAAGTAGCTAGAATTCAATAATTCGTTGTCTGTAGGTTTTAGATGTGTAGAAAGTGTTGTTGATTCAATGTTTGGTTTCTGCAGGTTAATCCTGAAGTGAGTTGCGTGAAATGGATGTATGGGTGAAAAAGTTGATTCAATAATTGATGAGGAAATAATTCTTATTATTATTTTTTGATTGTTTAATTGATTTGTAAAAGATGATTTGTAAATGTTGATTTGTTTAATTAATGTGTACATAATTATTATTTGTGCTTGTTTAATTGATTGAAATGTAATAGTTGATTTGTTGATTTCAATCTGCATTATGTTGAATGCAAAACAGACTATCGCAACGCGGAAATGACTATCGCAATGAGAGAATCGCAATGCGATAGTCAATTCCGCGTTGCGATAGTCATTTCCGTGTTGCGATAGTCATATTCGCGTTGCTAATAAGTGATAACAAATGAACATATCATAGCAATGTTCAAACTCAAGTTACTAATACATGCCTAACTGAAAATGTTAAAAGTTCACACATAATATACATATAATACAACGTTTGCATTTAAAAATCACCTAAGTTAACAGTCCCAAAAGGTGAAGCCGGTTGTGATTGGGATTTTGATGAGGATCCATATTTTGGTAGAGGAAAAGATGATTGTGATGGCACTGGTGATCCACATGTCAACCTTGTATGACCACTTTCCATGCACTGACTATATGTCGATCTCTTCTTCTCTTCACCCTTAGACGGTATATGATCGTGACTTTTTGGTAGGCCAGGTAGCCTTCTGTCCATGGCTGGTGGCAAAACTGTTTGTAAGTCATCTGGTATGTCCCACTTAGAAGGATGTGGAATAGGGTAGACAATCTTGACATAAGTCTGTCGATATACTTCTGTAGTGTAGCAATCCATAGCGTATGCGCTTGAATCATCTTGGTTTAGATGAAGAGCAACTTTTATAACATGGCCACACGGATAACCAGATGTTTGTCATTTCATACAACTACACGTATTTGCATTTAGATCGACAAGCCCATTTAAGTTATTATCCAGTACTTCAAACAAAGTGTTTGAACATGGTTCAACTCTCCATGACGTTGACTTCACAACACGTTTCGTTATCTTTTTTTCAGTCCATGGTGTAACACGATGTTCCAATGTTCCTGTAAATTTAAATAAATAATACTTAGTAAAATATATGATAAGTTACAAATTTAAAGAAATAATACATGTATGGTTTCTTTTCTTGTAGTACCACTGTTGAATAGAGGCTCGAAAAAACTCCATTAACATAGTAATGGGCAATTTCCGGGAATGACGACTTAGAGCATTGATTGATTCTGCACTATTAGACGTCATGAAACCATATCTTGCTCCAAGTTGATGTACTCTTACCATCTTTCAAACCTGACATCTTCTAGTGTTTGAGCACACTGAGGCAAAACACGTCTTAAACAGTTTATATGCTTATTAAAATCCACTTCCCGATAAGCTTTTACAGCCTTCCAGTATGTCCATTTGTGATTTTTTATACCAGAAAGACATTGATTTAAGATTTCTATACAAATGAACACCACAAAGTCCATGAAAAGCATCTGGGAAACACCTTCTAACAACGTTGTCAATTGAGTTTGCCCTATCGGATATGATTGTTAGATTACTAATAAGACCTATGCAATCCCTAAGATACCCCATAAACCATGTCCATGAATCAGAGGTTTCAGATTTGCCAACCCCGTAAGCTATTGGCAGTATCCCATTGTTAGCATCCATGGCTACTGCTAATAAGTTTACTCCAAGGTATCGACCTTTTAAATGTGCTCCGTCAACTATAATAATTGGGTGCATGCAAGTAATAAACGAACGAAACTACAAAATCATATACACAAGAAATATAATCATTTAAATGTGAAATACATGTAACTAACAAAAATGGAGTCAACAAAATTATATTGATTTACTAACCGCAGCACTGATGGTGATAAACAGCAACTCAAAGCGTCCATCTCTATCTGTTTTGATATGAGTTACCGACCCAGGATTTTTCAGCTTTAAATTGTGACAATAAGACGGCAGTTGGGCAAACGATGCTTCTGGCGACCCCCTCAACAATTCCAAGGCATAACATTTGGCTCTCCAAGCTTGAGAATATGAGATACTAATCTTGAACCGAGCATTCATGTCAGTCATAATTTCATGTCCCCGATATACCCTGCCATTCAAAAATATTAACTCAGCCAGAAAACCACTCAACACCTTTTTGTTTGCCTGTCTATGGTGAGGAAAAACTTGGGTTCTTGAACATGTATGTTTATCAATAAAAGTCCTAACTTGAAATATTTCGCAATCTTTTATCCTCTTTGCAATCATACGCCACATACAGTTTTTGTCAATCATACACCTTGTTTCGAAACGATCTTTGCTTGATTTGTTAACTTTTAGTTGATAGCCATCTTCTACACATTTCGTATACAAAGCTATCTTCAAGTCTTCCATTGTATCAAAACAATCATCTTTCTTGATACGAATAATTTTTGTGTAACAATCAACTGCTATCTTTACCAACTCTTCTTCCGGTATCTGAAGTAATTCTGGCATATTCCAGTTATACTCCTGTGGCATTTTCTTCGGGGACTTTTCTTTGGGGATTTATTCTTCTTCTTTTTCTTCTTCAGGGTTATATTAATTACAGAATGGATGTTCAACATGTTCATTTA